AGCAACAGTGGTTCGAGTCAGCCCGAGCTGAGCAGCCGTGAGCTGCCAACAGGTGGCAGGATGGCTCAGCTAAAAAAAATAAAAAAATAAAAGTGCCTGGAATTCAGTTTTGACAACACAGCACGCTGAGCACTAAGGGTCAGCAAGTTCCCAGGAAGCCAGTGGGCATGCTTGTACCCATGCATCTTACATAGAAGCCACAAAAAGGGGGAAGGCCAGAACAAAACCAAAGAATTCAGACCCTAGGAAAGCCACGCTGGCCTGTTAGTAGTGATTGTAAATGCGTGCATGTGCCACAAGGACGTGTCTTTAGCCTTCTGACTTAAACGACCTTCACGCGATGCCTCCATCTCTCACAGTTTTGTTCCTCACACTGTTTTAGCAAGCTTCAGCTTCACTTTTCCAGCTAGCGGCTGGGCATCTCCAACTGGATGCCTCTCAGTGTCATGTATTCCCTTCCCTAGGAGGACCTGTGTCCTTGTCTTATTGAGTTACAAAGAATCAGAAAGACTCCTGGTTCTGAGTCCCAGATCCCAACCCACCCCCGTCCCTCAGATCTAGTGGTGTGTTGGAGCTGGCTCACACCAGTTATGAGAACAAGTTCTACGCAATACTTCTCAACTTTGCATTCTGTGACATGTTGGTAGCTTGAAGTCAGACATGGTGGGAGTATTTATACCACACAAATCAACAAATGCCACAAATTCACGCTTTTTTTTCCCCCAGAGAGCCAATTTACCAGCATACTACTGCCAGAATCCAAAATCCTGCCTTATCGTTCTGTTAGGAGACCCGGAGATGCCCATCACCAGGCTCCATGAGACGTGAAAACTGACCCAGCTGTGCTTTCCGGCTTCTTCCTGTCCTCGTGCATCTGGTGGGGAGTTGGGGGCCTAATGGTACTCGAGTCAGACCGGGCTGAAGACTTGGGCGGTTCCACTGCCAAGCCCTCTGCTATCCTCGTGCCTTACCTTTCTGTCCTGGGCCTTCCCTCAGATAGAAACCATAGCCATTGCTTCCCTTCTTCATCTCCACAACTCTGGGCTGGCAAGGTAGTAATTTCAAACTGGCTGTTTCCCTCTTGATTCTTATATTCTGCTCACTGTGGTGCTTGTCAGCCTCCTTATCCATCAGCAGGAACGTGACACGGCTCCCTGACTTCCTCACCTGCGAGAACACACACAGGTGAGGCCCATCATCAATCTCCAGGAAGGATGCTGGGAAATAGGGAACTTTCTGTATAGAGGCACAGTCTCTAAATTCAACAGAGAATATGGGATGTAGGGTCTGAGTTTCAGCTGCTCTATTTCCTACCACCTCACTGGTGTTTATCAACCTCCATTTCCACAATTGTTGTTTTTCCTTTGGTCAAGTATGACGTCACCCACACAGATGCTAACTGAACCCGAGTAAGAGCTGGAATTCAGAAAACCCAGAAAGGACTTTGGTGAAGGTTAGAAAAGAAAAGAAAGTGGAGGTCTACCTTGAATGATCATCTACCAAGAGAAGTAAGGTTGGTCAATTTTCAAGGTTCCATATGACCTCAGAGGAAAACCTCACAATGTCTTCCTGCATCACACCATGCTGTGACATAAGATTTGGGGTAACAGACCTTCCAGTACTCTCCATGCATCCAGCTCTATATTCATAGCCACATTGGTTATCATTCAGCTTGTATTAAAACATGTTAGTAACATGGGCTCAACATTGAATATATTATCAATTCAGATGGGGCTCCCAATCAGGTATAAATAAGACCCAAAAGATAATGTGTTCTTCAGAACACTTTTCTTTAAGATAACATGAAACTAACAAAAGCCTTATTCTAAAACCCTCTATCAACACTGCTTACACCGCTAATAAGTCTGTTTGCTCTTCATACAAAAGGGCAACTTCCCATCATTATATTTCTCCCATCACAAACCACCACTCCTATCTCCCATCCAATGACAGCTGAATGAAAGATAAGGTAAAAAAAAAAAGTACCCCCTTTGGGACATACCTTTTCAACCACTTCCTCATGGGTGGCGTCTTCTACGTTCTCTCCGTTCACTTCGATCAAGTGATCATCAGCCAGGATGCCAGCTTTCATAGCCACACCTTGGGGTGTGATATCGGTCATGTACACTCCCTTTTTACCTGGAAGAGAGTAGGGGGTTGGACGAGTGTCACAACTCCATTACACAGAAGGACAACAGAAAAGGGCTTCCTCCCAGTGTAAAACGAGGACTTCCAATTTTCGAATCGACTTTGGCCTCTGATCTATAACTGTGTGTACAGCTCCCAGCTAAGCTTGGCTCGGCCATCACTCAGCTGATCTTTGATTTGAATAGAATTTCTGAGCCCAACTAAATGCAAGGAAGGAAGTTCAGAGGGCACTGGCCTCTCGAAGCCGAAAGGACCAAAGCGTGCTCGTGGTGCATCGTTGTGTCGTACTCCCTTTCCTGGCATTTGTAGAACTAGAAGGCATCCACTTCATTCTGTCCTCTTGAATTAGCACTGTCACCAACATCACAGACCAATGGGGTCCGTAAATCTCTCTGATGCAGGCTAAAGGGGACAGAGGCACCAGACACACCCATGGAGTTTGGGCTAATAGGTGATTTAGGCACTTCTTAAAGAAATGCTGTCGTTTCAAGATATTCATATTCAGCCTAGGCAAAGGGTTGCTTTATAATGACTAGATAAATTATTCATAAGGAATAACAGTAATTTAAACTCTTCTTCCTTAAACACAGTTCTGTTACCTTGTTATGTATTCGTCATGGAGAAAACATTTTCCCCATACAGCTAACCTAAACCACCATGTACAGCAGCCCAAGGGTCAAATGAATGCAATCTGAACTATGATTTTTTTTTTACCACTTTACTGATAATGGACTCCTAAGCAATGTCAAGCTCCCCTGGACCACCTACGCCATTATGCTCAATGACTGACTGACGAGAAATACCTCTTAGAGCCAGCTTATATCTCTTACTGCAGGTTAACTAAACCTTGGAAACTAGGTCATGTTCACCATTGGTCTGCTGTCTATCACGTAGCAAATTGTGACCCACTTCCAGAGCCAAAAGGACATGGCTGGGGCAGCATTTGAGGCAGACCACAGGCCACCGCAGCATTACAGAAGCATGGTCCCTGAGCACAGGTCAGCCTGCGCCTCTGAAATTCTAGAAACAGAACGAGTACTTTCTGATGGTCGAGGTGTTTCAAATCGCCATGCTCCTCTCAACTGGAGGTCAGGGACACACCTCAGAGTGAGGCTGGACCACGGCTGAGGGTGCTGTTTAAATGTCACAGGAGGGTGGAGATTTTTGCGGTATCCTCAGCAACTGTAACACTGTCTGGCATATCAGTAGGTGCTCAAGAATTTGTTGAATAAATGAGTGACCACCTGGGCACTCAGAGATGACAAGAGATAATCATTCTTGATCAAAGTAGCTATTCTGAAAAAGCTCCTTTTTCTTGCCTCTTGCTCCTGTTCTCCACTCCACCCGCACCCTAAGGGAGCTAGAAAATAGCAACAAAGAAACCTCTGCCCTCTAACCCTCTGGCCTCAAAGGCTCAGCCTAACAAACCTTGGGGGCCAGGGCCACCCCCCACCCCGCTGTTGCTTTGATCCCTCATTGCACAAGGGCTGGGCAGGAAGGAAGGTAGGCAGAGCACAGCTGCTGTTGGATGGATATCCATAGCAACCGAGAAGTTATTCAAAGACATCAGTAATCGATAATAATATCTTCTGGAAAGCTAGTGGTTCGTGCCCCACCCTCAGGCTCACCTTGGACAGTTTTCAGAGAAAAGCCATAGCTGCTCCCCTCCTTCACCAGGTAGCAGAGCCGCGGCTGGGTCCAAGTCTGCGCCCCTCCATTCATCACAGGACACAGCTTCTTATCACTCAAACTTGGCTCCTTCTGACTTGGACCCAGCTCTTTCAAATCCACCTGTTTTTTCATGGCTTTCTCATAGGAATCGTCATCTAGAACGAGCAAAGTCACTGAATTCCCACTCTTTCTGATCAGATCTACAACCTAGGAGGAATAAAGGACAAAACGGCTTTAACCAATAGCCCTCCATCAACTGCCAGAGGGGATGCTGGCTCATTATCTGGCCCTGGAGACTGATGGCTGATCCCTGACACCCAGATGGCGCCCCAGCCATCTCCACCCCAGTGTGGGCAGATCATGCTGGGCCTCTAGCACTGATGGAATCGGGAGTGTGGCCCAAGCCCAGCCCAGGGGACTCTTACAAGGACTGGTCCTTTCTAGGGATGAATGCTACCCTAGAGCACAACAGGTGCCCCCAGGCCTATGGTCACAGAGGGTGTAGTGAAACAAGCACCCTCTTGGAGGCAGGCAGAATTGGGGTATAGTCAGGCACTCCCATATGTTCTCTGCATGAACACATTAGCTAGCTAAGTTATCTGAGCCTCCGCTTCTCATCTGTGAAATGGCAAAAGGTACCTCATGGGTTGGGATGAGGATTTAGCAAAATAATGAACATGAAATTGCCTAGCGTAGTTTCCGGCATACAGCAAACTTGCAATGCATTTTAGACATGACACTGTTCAAATCTTGGAAGAGCACTTACAGTTCCTGGGTAACTGTGGGAGCCTTGATCAGCTGGCAGAAAGTACAGCCATAAAGGTATCCTGCCTTGCCGATGGCAGCCAGGACAGCTCCCCCGACCCCCAAAACGATAATCAGAGGTACGGGGGCTGAAGAGATTCTGGAAGAAGGGCCACCAATGTCCCGCTCACCTGCGTGTGCTCTTCCTTGTCCACAAAGATGCCGTTGATCCTAAGGACTCGGTCTCCATCCCGGAGGCCAGCCTTCTCTGCCTGGCTGCCCGTCTCAACCTCCCGGACCAGGTGGCCATCGGTGTCCTTCTCAATTCGCAGGAAAAAGCCATAGCTTTGCCCTTCTTGTTTAGACAGCTGACATTCTCGGGGCTTGAAGGCAGAGGCCATTTCTGTGCTGAAAAGCAAATGGATACACCCATGAGGAAGAAAATCTCACTGGAGTAAGAACCCTGTCCTCCACCCCCTAGAATTCCATTCTTCTAATCACACTGCTTGAGTAGCAACCGTGGGCCTACAGGAGGCCCCCTCCCAGGACTCGCTCATGATTTCCAAACCTACCTCCCCAAGGGTAACCTTTTTTTTTTTTCATTTTTTATTGGGGAACAGCCATGGTCATTGGTTACACATTGCTTTCATGCTACAATGGCATTGTTGACTCTTATAGGGAGGGCGCAGCTCACAGTGGCCCATGCGGGAATCGACCCAGCAACCTTGGTGTTAGCGACACCATGCTCTAACCAGCTGAGCTAACCGGTCACCCCCACCCCCACCCCCACCCAAGGGTAACCTTTTCACGTAAGTTTCAGATGCATATATTTGGGTGGGCCCTAGACACAGATGCTTTCATTTCAATAGCTCCAAAACCAAATTCCTCTTTGTCCTCTAACCTAAAGAAATTAGATTAAATACGTGGCCTAAAATTTTTAAGAAAGCACAGCCCACTTTCATGCAAATATTGGAAGAGGCTGTCAAGTTCTAGGCATTAGGGAGAAATCTGTAGACAAGACAAACCCATACTTCACCTCCTATCGGGGAGAACATATTTTTACAATGGCAGTTGGTGAATGACACGCTAGGGAAGAATCAAGTGAAAAGGGAGAATATAACAAAAGGTCTTGGGAGTAGGGAATGGGGTGGGAAGAATTCAGAACGGCTTCCTGGAGGAATGACTTTTTCAAGACCTGAAGGATTAGGAGCTAGGTAAGGCCGGACAAGAGAAGACCTCAATTAGAAAACAGCAGCCAGGCCTCAGAGCTGGCCTGATAGATTGCAGATGAGACAGAAAAGTGGTTTCACAGGAGCCCGGAGTCAGAGCAGAGCAGGGATGCCTGAGAAAGAAGGACTCGCATGGCCAGGTCGCATTCTCCCCCTTGAAGCATCTTCCATTTCCATCTGTTCTGCCCCTCATGTGGCCCCATTGCAGGAGCAAGGTCCTGGATCACAGGAGGAGGACAGGAAAGGATGGAAACCAACAGCTGGGGCTTGGTCCCCAGTTATTACGGGGAAGACTCCTGTCAGTGTCCCAACCCCCCCACCCCCGGGGTTAAGCTTTTCCTTTTCTAGGAGAATAAAAATGGAGACCAGAACTGCTGATGTAGGCAGACACCCAAGTGCAGAAGCTGCAGTCTGCTGGTTAAACTCCCTGCAGGGCAAACCCTTGTGTTCCCCTCGTCAGAGTTCCTTACCAGTAAATCTGACACTAAACCGCCTGTCCCCTCCTCCTGGCAGGACAGAAACAGATGACCATAGAGGGTCTGGGGGTGGAGGATGAAGGGGAGACAAAGTGCTCCAGGCCCCCGGGAAGCCACACCATGGTGATTCCAGATAGCCATCTCTAACCTTTGTGCACACAGAGACACATACAGTACAAACCGGGCAGGACGCCTCCCACTGCCTGATGACTTGGACGCTTTGTGTAGCCTCAGCAATCTGGCAGCCACGCCATACCACCAGTGGCATGAATGACTAAGCAGCCAAGATAACAAGAAACAAATAAACTGTGTTTCAAGGAATCCTGAGCCCTCCTGAGTATGTGTGTGTGTGTGGGGGGGGGGGGGTAGTGAAGCCACGCTTACTGGGATCGTTGGCCATATCGTGACCAACTGCCAGGAAGATAGCACTTTGGGTAGAAATGGCGAAAGTGAGGCGTGAGTGGAAAAGAGGGAGTCACCAGAGAGTGATTGCTCCCTGCTGTAGGCACCTGTGTGAGGCCCTGTGACTGACCTTTTATGTCTCTTTCTGCTGATGCTCTAGCCTGCAAGCCTCAGGGACATTTTCCAGCTCAAATCCACATCTATGTCCAAACTTACCTCTCGATCTCTAGCAGCTCTCACTTTTATAGGGCTGACAGCCTTGAAGGGGTGGGGGGAGGGGGGAAGCCCTCTGAAATTTGGAGGTAATTATAGAGAAACCTACAAAACTCAAATCCTGTGAAATTTGAGACATGTCCTTATCATGAAAATAAAGGCTACCAGAGGCTGTGTTTTCATCAAGAGGTAAGACTGTTTGTGCTCAGCATATGAGTGCTCATTTCTAAGGAACCCACCCCTAAAATTCAGTCATTCACACACACACCCTTCAGAGTCAGCCGAGGATCTTAATCTCTTTCTGAAGGTCCAGGATGGAAAATGAAACCTCACTAAGGTTAGTCCGTGTTTGGGGAGGAGAGGGAGAGGCGAAGTATTCTTGTGTCTCAATAAAGGCTCCTAAGTCTGATAAACAAGGAAACACAAATCACCATTTCTGGGCAAAATCTCAAGTTATCTTGTTTGTTTGAAGTTTTCAAACAGGCAAACGGTAGTCATTCATCTGCATTTACATCTTTGATGCCTCGGCGTTTCCGGTCAGAGTTTCTTTTCACATCTGTGGTTGAAGCCCCCAAAATGAGCCAGTTCACACCCACAGAAAAACTGTTCACAGTGCTGGCTGGAAAACAGCTACCGGCTGATTGCTTCCTGCCTCATGTCTGCTGCCCCCACTACTCAGCCACAGAAGGCTTCATGCTGGTGCCCATGCCAAACTGATGAAATACTTAACACCTTCAAATGTACCAATGGAGAAAGCTGATCCAAACCCCCAAAGCCTAGCCTTTTAGGGGGCCCTTGGGGTCCTGAAACTATTGGTTTCCTTTTCCATCTTGTAGAGAGATGATTCAAGAAGTCACAGGGGCTGGGCTCTGGCCCGGCTCCAGTGCTGGGTCTGTCTAGTCCACATCCGGGTGTTACACCAGCCCCTCAATCAGGGCTGAGATCACTCGCGAGAGCAAGACTCACTGTGGCCTGATGATGGCTGGGAATCAGAAGGACCTTTATATTTAGGGGTAGTGCTTACTGTTTCTTCAGCCCCCACCCCCATCTTTTGCTTCCTGAGAAAATCTGGAGCTCAGACCCCTACAGCAGGTGGATATGTAACTAGTGAAGATCTATGGATTTCTATACAATCATATCAGCAACCATCCGAACATTAAACCTCAACAGGCTTTATTCCCCAGTTCAAATAGCCAAAATGCAATACTGGAAATGAAAGTTATAACCATTACTGAGCATGGATGGGGGGTGTTGGGGGTGGGGTGAGGGAGTCAATTTCAGGCAACAGTCGCTTGTCTGTGGGAAAGAAGAGAATTTTTTCAAATCAATCATAATTACTAATCATACCTCTAGACCCCACCTTTCCCCGAAAGGATTAGATTATTGCTACCAGAATAGACTATAATATGCCTATATGATGACTATAACATGATAGACTATAATATGTCAAGGAGAAAAATTAGGTACATTTTAGAAGTTAGGAAGGCTAGGTAGTGACAACAATGGAGGGTAGGCAAGACCCCTGGATGTGGCCAGAGAAGAACTAAAGACACTGGGCTGTTTCCCACAGAAAAGGACTCGCTGGTGGCACCCAGGAGACTCTTCCAAGTGCAAGGTTGGCCAAGGTCGCTCAGCCCCCAGGCAGCCATCCACACAGGTCCATACAGGACCCTGAGTCAACACCCACCCTCACCAGCAGCTCTGCAGAGGGGGCCGGAAGTCAGAGCCCAGAGCTCCTCCTGAGGAGATTAGGACTATACAAGTGAGACCCAAACAGCCGGAAGGGTCAGCTGGGATGGCTGAGGCTGAGAAGAAATCTCATTTTCCCCTCAGTTTGTGGAAGGGCTTTCCATAGCAGGGCTAGCTGGGGAAAGTGTGAGACCCATTTCAGATGATCCCAGAGCTGGTAGTAAAGCGTGCCTGGCCTGTCACTTTGCATGTCCAAAAGGTCTCCATTCTAAGCTAATTGCCACATGTGGAAATGTCCCTTTAAGAAAATCACATGAGGGGCGGCCAGTTAGCTCAGCTGCTTAGAGCACAGGCTCATAACACCAAGGTGGCTGGTTGGATCCCCTCGTGGGCCATGAAGCTGCACCCTCTACAAGTAGATTGAGACAACTATTTGACTTGGAGCTGATGGGTCCTAGAAAACCACACTGTTCCCCAATAAAAAATAAAAAATAATCACATGGACATGAATGCTCACATGCCTACTCAGTGCAGGGGACAAGGGTAGGAATGAAAAGATCTTAAAGCCACTTAGCTCATCAAAAATCCATGATCCCCTGTGAAACATTTGAGTCTCAAGGTCAGTGGGAACCTGACAAGAACACAGTGTTTCCCAATATAAAAGTGAGCATGTGGTGAACAGAGTTATTTTTCTAACTCCTGAGAGCTTCCAGATATTTTGAGAAAGAATCCAGATGTTGCTATAGACCAGCTGAAACACAGACCAGAGCAAAGCAAATTCTTCTGAGATGGAAAAGAAATGACAACGGCTGGAGAAGTGAAGTCAGCAAGAATTACAGGATCTTCATTCACTTCGTCAATCCTGGGTGTTATCTACCTCTGCCCGAAGGCACCAGCTGGCTTCAAACAGATACGCTTAGTGGATGGAAATGGTCTACATCTACAGATCATCATCATGAATCATTACCACTTAAGAACCCACTATGGGGGCCGGCCAAGTGGCACATTGGTTAAGAGTTGGCTTGGGACGCCAGCTCTGAGCAGCAGGGCCCCGGTTCCGATCCCACATGAGGGCCAGTGACGCTGTGCCCTCTACAGCTAAGATGGTGAACAACAGCTCGACCTGGAGCTGGGCTGCCATGAGTCGCTGGCAACGGCATAGGCTGCAGTGGGCTGCCGTAAGCTACCGTGAGTGGCTGGCAGCTGGCATGAGCTGCTGTAAGCGGCCGTGAGCGGCCGTCCAATGGCCGGTGACCGATCTGCCTGGCCCAGGAAGAGCACAATGATGGTGCCAACTTGGGCCAGTGAAGC